CTTTGCCCAGACCACTGGCTGACCTCTAAACATGCATGCAGTAGCCCAGGTTAGGTTAAAAGAACAAAATTGGGATTTCAGTTGTTGAAACTCAGGGGAGACAGTTTGCAACATGTGTCCAACTAATTTCACTCTTTGCTTTAAAAATATATTTATATTCTTCAGGGAAAAATAATAGAATTCAGAGTTTCTATAACACATCATTCACACTGTCTAAATGCAACAAAAAATTACCTGACATAGAAGTAAGCATTAAAATGTAACCTATTCTAGGAGGGTAGGAGGGTGTAGCTTAAGTGGTAGAGTGCATGCTTAGCATGCACGAGGTCCTAGGTTCAATCCCTAGTACCTCCATTAAAAGTAATTAAGTAAATAAACCCAATTACCTCCCCTCCCCCCCAAAAAAACCCTAAAAAAGCAACTCATTCTAATGAGAAAAGACAGTCAACAGAGACCAACTTGACATTACTCAGATGATGAAATTACTAGACAAAGATGTCAAAGCACCTATTAAAACTATTCTCATGGACAAGAAGGAAAACATGGCTTCTAGCGAATAAAAACATAGAAAATATCAGCACAGAAATAGACACTATTGAAAAATGGAACTTTACTAACAAAATATAGTATCTGGAATGAGAAGTTCAAAGGCGGGCTTACTAGCATAATAGAAATGACCAAATAATGAGTAAGCTTGAAAGTAGTTCACTGGAAATGATCCTTTCCAAAGAGGAGAGAATTAGATGGAAAACAAATGAGCAGAGTTTTACTGGCATGTGGGAACATATTAAAGAGACTAATACATACGTAATCAGAGTCCCAGAAGAAGAGGAAAATAACAGGGTAGAAAACATATTTGATGAAATAATGGGTAAATATTTCCCAAATTAGGTGAAAAACACAAATGTACATATTCAAGAAGCTCAGGAAACCATAATCAGGACAAATTTAAAGACAAACACACCTATATGCATTGTTATCAAACTACTAAAAACAGAAAAGGGGAAAAAAAATTGAAAGCAGCCAGCAGTCCAAGAAAAATGACAAACTGTAAACTGGGAACAATTATTGGAATGACTCTTGACTTCTTATCGGAAATAACAGAGGCCAGGAGACTGGGAAAAACTCCTTTAAGTAAAAAA